GGAAAAAAGGTGATCAAAAAGTGATTTTCTGGGAATTAAAGAGAATGGCTGCTGCCGCTGTTGTCGTCACTCTGGTGAAGCATGTTTTTTTCAGAGTAACTAAGAGGCAGGAACATGTTTCCTCTGGTCTCTGAAGTTGTCGGGCTCCTCGCCCCACCACAAGCGCTCTTCAGACGAGAGGAGGAGCAGGCACGGAGGAGAAAATGGGGCACGAAGGAGGCGTGTTTTCCAAACCCACGGGTCATGTGTTATCATTTCTAACTCGGCGCACACTGTCAGGTTTGCCGGCGTCAGCTGCTTACACACGTGCGGTGCTGCGGCTGCTGGCGTGTAGAACCAGGGTGGATGTTTAAAAAAAAAAGATCTGGTGCTGATGGCTGTAATATTCATCAATCTTTGAGCAACATCGGACAAAATGCTGCCACGCTGTCAAAGGATTGGGGAGAAGTCACGTAAACGCAGAAACAAACTGTATGAATCGAGGATTTTGATGCCTGGTCATTAAAGTTTGCAGCAGGTGTGTAGTGTTGTGTGTGTAGTGATATGATGAAAAGAAGAGATCTCATTTTGTTCACAGAGAAAACTAGATAACAAAATCATCCGGGCAATTGTGCACATAAATTGAGCCCCTACACGTGTGTAGCTAGTGATTAAACTCGTAAAAGTAAAACCAGAGTGGCTGAAACAACTCAGTTTTTGTGGCTGCGATGTCTCGTACCTCTCAAACAGATCAAAGTGTTGAAGCAGGAAACAGGACAGATCCCCCAGAAGTGAACGGAGAGCCACAGAAAGTTTCTCTTATGTTCCACATGTTGGTTTAGACGTGTCAGACATTCATTATTCAATCAAATATTATGCAATTAGAACATTAAATCTGTGTGTGGGTGTGGATGTGGGTTTATACTGTATTTTCCATCAGTCACACTCACTCTCAGTCACTGTGCAGGGACGGAGCTGTGATCTCTGTTAACCTGCCTCACTGGACTCATTATAACCATCTGATCACACTTTGGCTAATGACTAGCCTGCTGCTAACAGGCGTGTGAGGCGCAGGATTAGTGTCACTGACCTGTTGGAGGGGGAGAGTTGAAGGGGGAGTGACGACACAGAGCTTGCGTAGAATAAATCCTCACTGTGTTGCATCATTTCTATACCGTAGAAAACAAATGTTCCCACATCAGGTCAAGTTCTGTCGCGGTCCCCTTGATTCCCACAGCTTGTTCTAAACCTCGCCTCTGTAATGTGTCGCCTCCTAAATTCACTCTTATATTAAAAAGCATCTCATTGCATTTACACAGACGCCACGATGTGATTCATCAGCATTTGAAAGTGAAATCTCTGTGCGTGTATTATGTAAATTAATGTGTTTTTTCTGGCGCAGCAAAGTTCTTTCTTGGGGGGGCGATGATTTGGAACAGAAGTTTTTGCTGAGTTTTCATGTTTTCTTTCTTCTCTTCATCTCAGCTGCCAGTGATCACTACCTCATAGGTAACAACATCACAGTAGCTGTTCTGGGGATAGTCATTCCTATCGGTGAGTACCCGACTCTGTGTCGTTGTTGTCTTCGCTCTCTGCCTGCCTGCTTCTCCCTCCTCGCTTCTCCGTCTCATGCTTGTCGCTCCAGATCCGTACGTCGTGTTTGCAGATGGTGTTTGACTGTTAGTGTGTGTGTTTCCGTACCTGCATGTGTGACCATGTGTCTTGCTACCCCCCCCCCCCCCACTTCAATTATTTATTTAATAACAAAAAAGTGCCTTTTGAACGTGTTGGTGATGTTTGAGCGAGCGTGTGTTGTCGTCATTAGAGATATTTCAGCAAATGAAAAATGTAATTCACGACCAGCTGTTGTGGTATTAAGCTCCTGGTTCCGTTCAGATCGTACGTTACACTCACGCTACTATCAATCCAGTGCTCTGACCTATTTCTGTGACCCAGCGGACTGAGAACACATCAGTTTCAGAAAAGGGAGGAAATATCAAATGGCTGAACGGGGGATTAATGAGATGTAATAGTGTTTTAGGCCCTGGAGCAGTGGAAATTTACAACCTAGGAAATAACATTTTTGTCTGAACATGGTGGAAAAAGAAATATATTATCATTTCATCACTGCACCATGTTATTAAAGGTTAGACGTACGACGGGAACGCATGTTACCAGCTAGTAAAGTTAATCTTTTCTATTAGCTCTGATTAAAATCTAAATTTATGGAAATAAGTAAAACATTCATGCTTAACTTAACCGAGTAATCATTTCAATGTGCAAATGACCTTACAGCAGCAGTATGTGGCATTAATTGAGATCTCTTTCATCCCTAATATGAATACTTTGATTAGTTATGGGAACTCCGACAAATGCTAAAGCTATTATTCTCTCCCTTTTCATTCTCAATGATTGAGATACCAGCTCATTAAAACAACCCCAGAGACTGTTAACCCTGTCCAATCCATTCCCCCATTCCGTCCCCCATCGCAGCACATAAATCCCCCCATTCTGCATTTTTTGGCAGCTTGGAAACATTAATTATGGTGGAGGTTCCGCCAGGGCCCGATTTCTGTACCTCAGTTCTCTTCTTACGCAGCGTGCCCACCCACAGCTCCTCCGCCAGGGAAAACAGCCCAGACAATGCTTATTAGCTGAAGCAGGGCTGTTGTACCACTCTGTAATTGGAGTGAAATTTTTTAAATGATACAAAAGCTGATGTTTTTTTTTATTTAAACCAGGGAGACATTTTTTTGTGTGTGTGTGTGTGAGAAGAACAAAGGCAGATCTGGGGTTTCCAGCCCGTTCTTACAGGGATCTCAAGTGCCTATCCAACAAAAGAGCAATTAGATGGGGCTTATGTTGCTGATGCAGACACATGTATGGATGTCAACACACACACACACACACACACACACTTTTTGTCTCTCCTCATTGACACACATCTGGTTCGGCTGTTCTCTCTCTCTCCGTGTCCACACACACATCCACTCATACGAACACATGCACAGAATTGTGCACAAGGGTCCTACAGGGCAGCTTGGCAGTCATGCTGATATGGTAATGAGAGGAGAGAGACGGAGCTTATCTGAAATCCTCCAACCCCCACACACCTCCACCAGCCTCTCTCCCCTCCCTCTCCCCTCTCTCTCCTCACAATCCTTTCATATTCTGTCTCCCCCCCTTGTCCATTCTCGTCCCATAACCTTGTCCAAAAAACGCCAGAGTCAGACCGTCTGCAGATAGGGTTTAATTTTCTTAACCCAGACAAGTGCAAATTTATAAATCATTGCCTAAGTGTAGCAGCACTGGTTTAATATGGTGATAACAGCTTCTTTCAAAAAGCCTAAAAGGTCTAATCAATGTGTTGTTCAGTGTGTGTGTGTGCGTGTGTGTGTGTGCATGCAGGGATTTATTGTTTGCTAGTTGAGCATGTGTGTGTGTTTGTTGTTGATCATTCTGCATAAGTAATGGAATGTAATATAATGTATGTGTGCAATATGAAGGCTCATTGTTTTATCTATCTTTCTAACCCTGAAATATTCAAACAAACCCAGATTTTACTCTTTAAATAACTGATGGTTACTCAGGGATTCTCCCACAGGAAGCATCTTGTGATTGATTATCTACAGTTTGGTTTGTAGATAAATGCACAAACAACATTCTGCACCGATTAGATAGATTTCATTCGTTCTGCTCCTCCCTGAAGGTTGATGTTTCAGACACAACTTTTTTAATGTCAGTGGAGGCGGTCTGAAAGAGAAATTTGTCTCCAAACCTTAGAAACTAAATTCTTCATGTAGAAAGTAATTCAAAACTAAATTGAAGGTGCCCCGCCCCCATCACTATATCAATACCCTATATGGACTAGAACAAAGGTTTGTGACACCAAAACATTTCTTCAGTAGCTCATTTTGTGCCACTCATGCCTCTGCTTCTTTACTACAAATACAAGAGGGTGTAAGAGCCGCCCACCTTTTTCCTTGATTTTGTTCTCATCCAAATATCACAGGTTATACTTCCATTTATTTGAAAATCAAAGTCAGAAAATAATGAGCCCTCAGAACTTGGAGGAACGTGTGCGACATGTGTTTGTGTGCGTGAGACAGTGCTTAAAGCGCCGCTCTGTGTCCCCTGGGCTGTGTTAACGCTCCCGCCGTGTGTTGTTGTTGTGTGTGTGTTAAACACATGCAGTCCCTATCCTTGCCACAGTGGTCATCGGATTACTCTGCACCGGCGGCTACCTGGTCTGGCGCAACTGGCGACGCAAGAACACCAAAAGCATGAATTTCGACAACCCAGTGTACCGCAAAACCACGGAAGACGACGACGACGAGATCCACATCGGGCGACACAGCGAGTCCATCGGCCACGTCTACCCAGCAGTGAGTGGCGGCCACAGTCAGCCGTTCATAGCGCTGCCACTAGGGGGCGGCATCACAGACAGCAACTCTCACTGGTACTCGGGGGCGCCGATGCTCTCCAGCGGCAAATGAGAGGATCTGCGGAGGAAGTGAAGGAGTATTTGAGAAATGGGAGGACACGCTGGGGTTTGGAAAAACCTGTGTGTTGTTACATGTAGGCCTGGTGGAAAGAAAGAGCAGGCTTGCACACGTCCACATGCTCACACATCTTTCTTGCCGTATTCACACACACATACACACACACACACACAAGCCCTTCACCAGTTCACCAGGGCCCTTCACCTTCATAGATCATAATCATACAGTACATATGTTTATCAATGCCTCATCCTCAAACCTGGCTTCACATTTATCCTTTATATATTTATTTCCTGACACCAAAAAGGCACATTTCATCCTTTGTTTACAAAAAGCTGCTGCAAAAGAATCACATTTTTTCTCTGCTTGCTCACTAGACGACAGAAAATATGCGCCACGAGGTAGCAAGCTTGTCAAAGTCTGTGTTGTTTTCGCTGCTACAATAATCACAGAGGGCCATCCATACATTAAAGGGCCACTGAGGCTTAGATAATGACTGTCTGTCTCCAAGCGGTGAAACAGAGATGTGTGCGCTGCAGCGGCATCTGTTTATTAGAGGAGCAAAAGTTATTTTAGTGTTGAGATGCCTTTGAGGAGGAAGAGGACTGGCTTTAAAGTCATCACAGAAGAGAAAGGACAAGTAGAGCACAGGCTTCAACCACACTATGTATAAATTGTTTTTTTAAGACTGCATAGTAACACCATGACATTACCCGTCCCTTATCTGAATTAAATTTTTCATATTTCATCACAGCGTAAAGAAAAGATATATCTGGGAACACAAATCAGAAACGAGGACAGTCGCAGAGTTGCACACTCATTGTTGAGGATCGTTTACGAGGCACAAAGCTGCGTTTTTATACAAACTCCGGAGACGATGCCAGCTGCGATTTGCTCTCACATGCACTTAGATGCAGAGTGCACTTGTCATCAGGACGCTCCACACGTTTATTGAATATATTTGTTGGTTTTAAGTATCGGCGAGCGAGTAGGGGAGGGCAGCTAAAAGAGGATTACGGGGGGGATGGGAGAGTAGCGCTTTGATCGGTTGGCATGGGAACACAGATTTCTTTGTGTTGCTCCGTAGAGGAAAGAGGCGAAGAATTCTGGGTATCACTGGCATGATGACAGACTCCAACACACACATATGCACAAAACAGGTGCCCGGCTGAGTCGCATTAAGATTCAAGGTCGAAGTGGAAGAGAACTCTGCTCTCTCTCTCTCCCTCTCTCTCTCTCTCTTCTCCACCTTCTGTACAAATCTCTCTTGTATTGTCATTCAGTCTTTTGTTGTTTTCTTCCTCCTCTTTTCCTCCTCTTTCCTTTTCCGTGACAATGTGGCGACTCAGACTGCCAGAGGAATCAGGTTGGCATTATGTGGGCCAGAAATTTGCAGCTTGTAGGCATGGGTCCTGCGTTCCTCGCATAGAATCAGCCAGAGAAGGAGGGAAAGAGGTAAAGAGGAAGGTCAGGGAAAGTGAGGACTGTCGGAGGAGAGAAACTAAAATCCAGGCTTCCATCTAAACTTTAATCTTCTTCTGTTTTCTTTCTCTGTTTTCTATCTCGCTACCCTTTCTCTCTCTTTCTCTCTCCATCACCAGCCTTCTGAGGTAACCGTCTCTTTATCTGCTGTTTGCAGCGTGTGGCACTCAGTCTGGAGGATGACGGCTATCCCTGAGGGGTGGGATGCAGCCCGCCGCCCCCCCTCCCGGCCCCCATCCTGGCCCCATCCATGGCCCCTCCTCTCACCGCAGCCTCCACACCACTGCATTGAGGCCAGTCCACCGCAGAGGAGAAAGAGAAGGAGTCCTCATTTTGCCTTTAAGGAGCAGGGATGACTCGTACACCTCAGAAACCCCCCCCCCCCCCCCCCCCCCCCCCCCCCCCCCCCCTCTCTTCCCGCTGGGGTAACATTACTACCACTACTAGCCACTAAACTTTTCCTCTAGTGCTAGTTTTCAGTAGCTTCCGCTCCTCTCCTCTCTGCCTCTCGTTAGCAGTAGTGGTGTCTGAAATGCTGCTTGATGATTTCCTTCACACTAACCTCATTCGGCAGTCTCAGTGCACATTGTAAATAAGAAGGCTGCCTGGCCTCTGTACAAGGGGAAAGAAGCCAGCGTTGGATATTTTTAATTCCTCAGATTATTTATTTGTTTGCATTTGCTGTTGTAAATATGTACTGAGCATCTCCTCGGTGCACAGCGAGTTCCAACGTGTTCCAAGTTTCCAAGGATATGCAGTCGAAGGCAAGGACGTCATTTTTCATCAGCTCCTTTTACATCATAGGTTGACAGGACAGAATATCGTCCCATCAGATTCGCCCCTCAACGTACTGTACTGTATGTGAAATATAAATATAGCCAAGGGGAAAGGAGACATAAGAGAGATGGGAGGTTGTTTTTGGTCGAAAGAGTAAAGGAGGATGTTTCTACTTTTTCTTTTAAGGGGAATGGGAGGATTTGTGCCACCAGAGGATCGTGCCTCAAGGCATAAAGGCAGCAGGGCAGAAAAGGCAAAGGATTATGGGTAATCCTCTCCCCTGATATGAGAGCTACGCCTACAGTTTATAAAGAACTTGAGATTGTTTACTCATTTTACGAAGCATGTCAGGACTCACGACTTTGCTCCTGACGTTTTGTTTGAGTCTGCTGCCGTCGATCTCGTGGAGGCAAAGTTTTCATTTTCTGACAACAGACCTTTATGGGACTGTTTCCAAGATGTGAAAATAGTGCGAGTGCTGAACTGTCCATCACGAATACACATTGTTTTAGATATTCTGCTGAGGCCTGTCTGTATTGGAATCCTGTAGGAAATGAAGTTTGAGACGGCGAGGTCAGGGAATCAGAGGATCTGCACATCTGTTAAACTACTGATATGAATATTATTAGCAATAAATATCTGCTAAGTGAATCTTTTCTTGCTGTATTTATGCCTCTAATACCACGACATTGTTCTTTATGAGTCTGTTTTAACTAGTTTCAAACTTGACTTTGCAGAGTTCTTTTACAGCCAAACACAGACATTAGTGTTTGAATCTGAGCGCACTCTTAATATCACCCAGTGTTTCAGTGGCTGCACACTGCCAGCTTCCATATCTGCCTCATCTCTCGTCCCCCTTTCAGCAACGTAGCTGTGTGTTTTCTGGATGAGATGGTGTCGGGGGGGACTGTTCATCGTGGTCGCGGGCCGTCCTGTTTCGTACGAACAGATGACTAATTCGCCGAGGCTGACTGAGCCGAGCGCTGATTTGATGTGAGAGCTGGATAGGAGAGGAAAATGTGTAAACCAGCATAAAGAGCTGATCTTCCTCTGGCTCGCCACAGACACGCTTCCAGCCCATTGAGCCAGATGGGATTCATGCCCATTGAATATGGCAATAATTGCTCATAATGTGTTGTAATAGTGAATTACCAGAAGCCGTTATGACAGAATAACACGATCGCTGTTCCACGTTGTCATGGAGAATTGACAAGCTTCCCATTCTGGGTGTCATTTAGTCTCCTTGACGGACATTTTGTCAATGTTAAGCTCACTTTTAATGCGTTAAATATGACACAGGGCTGTTTGTCATTGTCCTAACTACATACCACACTCGTCTTCCATTCTGAGAATAACAAATCTGAACAATGGTGCATTTAGCTGGGCTGAGGAGCTTGACTCTGTTTGACTCATCGTTTGTCTTATGATAAACCTGATATATGACCGAATATAAAGAAAAAGACATAAGCAATGTCATGCAAACATTCCCGTCTGTTAACATCTTCTCAGTATAGATTCGTACATTCATTTTCCCCTTTTCCACCAAGGCGGTTCAAGGGCCAGTGCCTGATCTCGAATCAGTTCTTTGTAATTCTAATCTAACACTTTTCTCTGGTCTAGGAGAGGATACCACTTACGTCACCAAGTGGTCGGACCAAAACATTGTGACCATTTTGAACAGACAGAGCTTGTGTTGTGTGTAATTTGCAAAGAAGATTGAATACTTGTGAGTGATGGCCGCCAAAGTGAAGCAGCAGTGGTCTTCTTGTTCTGCGGTCGTCAGCAAAGAAATCCGTGACGTATAGACGTCCTGCACGTGTTGGGTGAGACTGTGACTCAGCTCAGCGTGATCCTGGATTCATGGGCTCCTGAAGTGTTCTGTTTGCAGGCAGGATTCAGGATTGACGTTTCTGCCTTGACAGCTCCATTATGGTACAAACTCTGCATGCTCACAATTTCATATTTCTTCATATAAACCTTGTCTAAGGGAAAGGTGAAGATATTTCTGCCCAAATAAAACGATATATTCGTGAATTTGAAATTAAGTAAATTACAAACCCACTGCCAGTGTGAACCCTGGGCTGCTCCACACTCTCCCCCCCCCCCCCATGTCCATGTTTGCTTCAGGTCTAATGGAGTTCCACACTGAATGGTTTGGAGTCAGGAGAATAAATTGCTTTATTTATTGAGGTGAGTGAGCGTGGCGTTGTGGAAAAGTTATTATTGCTACAGTGGGAAGACGGATTGGCTGATTCATTTTTGCGGCCACCTTGAGAGCTCTGGAGGACGCTGGAAAAGTCAAGAGAGGTGTTTTGGTCTTTCATAATATAGTGGGCGGTAATTGTAGTGGTGGTGGTGGAGGACGGGCTCTGAACGTTCGCTCTCTGGCACTAATCAATGCTCTAATGTCATCAGCATCATGTTTTACTGAGAGTCAACCCAAACAGCTGTAAGGATCAGTTTAAGCACTGGAGTAATGAAGAGGGGAATTTACTGTTTGTACTTGATTTATTCAGATGTGCTACAGGTACTATGTTGTATATGTTTGACACTGTGGTGATTTATTTAGCATTATTTGCTCTTTCAGTCAGTTCTGCCCCTGTCGTTGCTGTGTTGATGCACAAAGCTACTTTAACACTGAACCAGAAATATAAAGAAGTTGTACACCTGCTCAGTAGTTTGACCTTTTTATCTAAATATTGAAACTAATGCATGACCAAAGCATTGGGATGCTCCTGACACATCCCGATGCATGCTAGGCTGCTTGTTTTAACAATAGGTCAACCTAGGTCATGTCATCCCTGACACGGTTGAGTCTGTTTCATTTTATGGAGAAAGATTCTACATGTTATTAGCTGATCGAATCAAATACTAACAGTCCTAGTAACCCGTCAACTAAAGTAATTATACGCTGTAATTATAGTGCTCCCTGTTCTTAACCGGCCTGCCGCTCGTCCTTTCTTCCCTCTGTGCTCTCTTCTAATCTTTACCGAGCAGAGTCTCGCTCACGCTGCTTTTACAGGGATGCAGTGAACATCATCCACATTTCTCCATCGCTTCACCTCCTCATGTGCCATAAAAAAAACCTAACACCAGCTGCAAAGCTTCAACTCTGTCTGTGCTTGTTTAACTACTGAAGTTTAGTTAAGCTTTGCTTCCTCTGCGGACCCTCGTTCTATCACCCTCCCATCTTCATCTTTCGTAATAACCTGGAACTAAAAATATCAAGGAAAGCCCCAGAGCTGACAAACCTCCCAAACTTGAACCAGCGAACAGACAAAAGAGCAACACTGAGCCAGGAGGAGCCGCCCCGCCTTCCTCCGGCTTCACTCTGGACCCGCATTGACTCCACTTGGCTGACATTTAGCTCTTGTTGACCCAGTGACTCTCCTTCACCAACTGGTTCCTCGTATTATCATGTGATTTTTTGGTAAGTCTGTAAGTGATTTGTAGTTGATGCTCTCTCTTTCTCCTCACCAGACCATTCCCAGTTTCATATATTTGATCTACTTGATGTTTGATTACTTGAAGGGCCGTGTTCAGTCGCCTACATTTTTCTACCTGTCCGTCTAAAATGGAAGTTCTGTGGGTTGTGGGGGGGTGGGGAAGAAGACGATGATGGGGGAGGTTGTGAAATCTTGTTTGTGTGAATCTTTTCATGTGTTAGGACGATGACGTACAGAGGTAACATTTTGATGAATGACACGGATCTGAACATTTTACTTTAACGGTTTGTTGATTGAATATCGGGGCTTTATTGAAGAAGAAAAAGTCTTGAAATTCGAGAACAATGTTGTAATTTAATGAGGAAATACACCAAGATATTGCAAGAATAAAGATAGAAACATTTCTTTAGGTGGACTTAAAAACCTTGAACCAGTCTGCCCTCCGATGTTACTCACAATAACCCTGTGGGCGACAACTACTAAACATTTCCTCTAAGCACAACCTTTTCAGAGTCCTGGTACTTATGAAAAATGGTGCTAATGTGATTAAAGAAGAATTTTTGTGTTATTTGTGAAACTTAAACTGAAGTATAACTCAACAGGATTCTCCACATTCCTCATGTTAACACAGACGACAAGCGGATCTTCTGATGTTCACCCTCTGAAATGACACTTATCATAAAATTGTAATATTATGACTTGCTCTCGTAAATTATGACTTTTGCTAAATTAAACTTAAGTCTCATAATTAAATTACAACTTTATTGTTGTAAAATGATGTCCTTTTCTCTTCAAACTACGACTTTATTCTTATAATTGTACAACTTTATTATCATGATATTAAGACTTTATTCTTGTAAAATCAGGACTTCTCTCACAAATTTCAACTTCATTGTCGAACTCCCCGAATTTCTCTTCCCTTCGAAGTCGTGTTGGGAAAAGATCACTTCTAATATGAGAAAGTTTTGGTTTCCATGTCGACCTGTGTTACTTTGAAATGTTACCCATGAGTCACCGCCTGCAAGGAAATCTCAAAAATCAAAACAAAACAAAAACATTCGGGCCTCTGTCCATTCCACAGCCATACGACAGGCATTTTTTTACGCTGTTTGTTGCACAAACCTTTTCAAGAAGCCTTCTGCACTGTG